TTTTGAATACCAGTTTTTGAGTATCTACCAGTTTTGGGGTACCAGTTTTTGAGCATCTCCCCGTTTTTGGGCATCTCCCCATTCCCAGAGTGTGGAATTTTACTTCTCAAACGTGTCGTTTCCTCCCGCTCATCCCAAACCCCCGTGAGCAGGAAGGAGACGGAGCCGAAACTCCGGAGCATCCGAGCTCCGGCAGCGCCGAAACCCCATTCCCAAAGCGGAAAAACGCCTTTTCACGGACACCGCGAGGCCCCGGGATCGGCCGAGATGGACACGGCTGTTTTGAGGTGAGTTCTGGGGCTTTTTGGCCGCTAAAAGGGGTGTTTTCCGTCCCTTTTTCCCAGCGGATGAGGACGACAAGTCGAAAGCGGCCGGCTCCGACGCGGAGCGGAGGGGGCTCAAGCGGCAGCGCGACGAGAAGGACGAGCACGGCCGCGCGTACTACGAATTCCGGGAGGAAGCCTACAACAGCCGGTGAGCGGGACGCAAATCCCCGGATTCCCCTCTCCCTTTTCCCTTGGGAAGCCCGGATTCGGTTGGACAAGCGGCTCCTTGTTTAAACAACCCTCAGGAATACGGGGCCGGAACAGGCGGTTTTGTCACTCAGAGGCGACGGGGGTTTTTTACAGTCTGCTGCCGACTGTTGCCTCTGTCTCACGTTGTTCCCCCTTCACAGGTCCAAGTCTCCCCCTCCACCGGAAGAGGAACCGAGAGAAGACGATGACGAAACAGTCGTCATCCTGGACACCTGTACGTGATGGTGACCCCAATTTACTCCTGTTGAGTGCGGGTGACACTTGGGTGTCACCCGGAGGAAGCGGTTGTCCCCATGGCCGAGTGTGCGTGGGGCTGTCGGTGCCACAAGGCGCCGGAGGACCGAGTTTGTGTGAAACCACCCCGCGTTACATCGGTGGGGTGTGCAGGGACAACGGGAGACGCGTTGTAGGGTGGGTGGGCAACAACAGGACAGCGTCGCGTGGTCCTCGGAGCCAGCCGGTAACAGAACCGTTGACAAATTGGAAAAACGGGACCAAAAAATGAGTGTTTTGGGGTTGGATGACAGGGATTTAGCCGAAACCGACCTCCTCTTCCGCAGATACTTCTGACCTCCACTTCAAAGCCAGCAAGGATCGCTACGGAGGACAGCCGCTCTTCTTTGAGAAATTCCCGAATCTTTGGTCCGGAGCGAGGAGCACCCACGGCGTCACCAAGGGGAAAATCTGCTTCGAGGCCAAGGTGGGACGAGCTCCGGAGCGGGGTTGAAGTTCGCTTGTATCCCGGCGCCTGTTGCGGTCGTGGGGCTGTTAGGGTGTTGGGAGCCACCACAGGTTGGGAAAGGGAAAACACTTGGGATTGGCAGCGTGGAGATGGGGAAAGAGGGGGAAAACAGGTCAATTTCCAGCTGATTCCGAAGGAACAGGCTTAGAAGGCGCTGTTAACATCCGATAGAAACAGTCGGGCTGTAGCAACAACGCGACCGGCCGCCTCCTCTCCGCAGGTGACGCAGTATCTCCCTGTGAAGGAGGGCAGCACCGAGGTCCCGCTTTTCCGCGTCGGCTGGTCCGTGGATTTCTCCCGCTCGCAGCTGGGTAAGGGGGCTCGGAGCCGGGATGTCGCTCGGAGCGCGCGGGAAGCAGCCCCGTCCATCCCCTCTTCCCTATCCCAGGGGAGGACGAGTTTTCCTACGGCTACGACGGCCGAGGGCTCAAGGTGGAAAACGGCCACTTCGAGGGATTCGGGGAGCCCTTCGGGGAGAGCGACGTGATCGGATGCTTTGCGGTAAGTGCCATAGCGGAAAACCGGGCCGGGAAGTGGGAAAAGCACGGAAATCTAACCCCAAAACAGCTGGCTGCTTTGCTGGAAAACTGGGCCGGGAAGCGGGAAAAACAGGGAAAATGAACCCCAAAAGAGATGGCTGCTTTGCCGGAATAACGGGCTGGGAAGTGGGAAAAGGAGGGAAAATGAACCCCAAAACAGCTGGCTGCTTTGCCGGAATAACAGGCTGGGAAGCGGGAAAAGGAGGGAAAATGAACCCCAAAAGAGCTGGCTGCTTTGCTGGAAAACCGGGCCGGGAAGCGGGAAAAGGAGGGAAAATAAACCCCAAAAGAGCTGGCTGTTTTGCTGGAATAACAGGCTGGGAAGTGGGAAAAGGAGGGAAAATGAACCCCAAAAGAGCTGGCTGCTTTGCTGGAAAACTGGGCTGGGAAGCGGGAAAAGGAGGGAAAAAAGTGGGAAAATTAACCCTAAAACAGCTGGTTGCTTGGCTGTAAGTGCCATAGTGGAAAACCGGGCTGGGAAGTGGGAAAAGCAGGGAAAATTAACCCCAAAACAGCTGGGAGAAAGGAAAAATGATGCGGAGAAAGCGCTGGAGGAGCCTGCAGGGTCCCTCTGGCTACAAAACCCCCATTTTTCCTGCAAATGCCTTTTTTTCTTGCCATAATCCCAGAACTTCGAGCCCGCCGAGGAAGTGGAGCTGTCGTTTTCCAAGAACGGCGCCGACGTGGGGGTGGCGTTCCGCGTTCCCAAGGAGGCCCTGGCGTGCCGGGCGCTCCTGCCCCACGTCCTGTGCAAAAACTGCGTCGTGGAGCTCAACTTCGGCCAGATGGAGCAGCCGCTGTTCCCGGTGCCGGAGGAATTCGTGTTCATCCACGCCGTTCCCGCGGAAGACCGCGTGCGCACGCCGCTTCCGCCCAAAACCACGGAGGAGTGCGAGGTAGGAGGCTTCATCCCGGTGTTTCCGCCTGTAGCCGGCCGCCTGTTGCCCTCCCGTCAACATTCCGGCTGTGCTTTTTTTCCCATCCCGAGGTGCTGCTGATGGTCGGGCTGCCGGGATCCGGGAAGACCCAGTGGGCGCGGAAGCACGCTGAGGACAACCGGGAGAAGCGCTACAACATTTTGGGAACGGAGACTGTTCTCCATCAAATGAGGGTAGGTGCCCACCACACCGGGAACAACCGTCGGAAAAAGACCCCAAAAAAGGGGATCCACTCACAAGTGCGACTGTTGCACCGCTCGGAGAGCAAAAGGGGGAAATTTTCCCTCTTTCCGAGCTTTTTTGGGAACCCCAGGCCGCAGATTTTGCCTGGAAAAGGAGGCAAAACCGCAGGGGTGTCGGGGTGACCAAAACCTGCTTTTTCTCCCCCGTTTCCCTCTGCTTTTCCCGCTGGAAGACGACAGGCCCCGACGTGGAGGAACTGGATGCCAAGAGCAGAGACCTGTTAATCCAGCAAGCTGCTCAGTGCCTTAGCAAGCTGGTTCAGATCGCTCCCAGAGCCAAAAGAAACTTCATCCTGGACCAGGTATCCGCAACCGGAGATTTTTTTGGGATGCGGGATACCCCTCGCATCCCGAAAACCCCATTTTTCCCCCCTAAAACCCCATTTTTCCCTCTTTTTCCCCAGTGCAACGTGTACAACTCCGGGCAGCGCCGGAAGCTGCTTGCCTTCAAGGGCTTCTCCCGCAAGGTGGTCGTCATCGTTCCCAACGAGGAAGACTGGAAAAAGAGGCTGGAATTGCGGAAAGAAGCCGAAGGGGAGGACGTCCCGGAGTCGGTGATGCTGGAAATGAGAGGTGGGGAAGGAAACCACCCCCTATCCTGGGGGTTTGTACCACCGCTTGTGTGCGGGGGAACACCGGGAAGCGCCTGTTGCTTGACGGATTTTTCCCGTCGTTTTCTCCGTAGCGAATTATTCCCTGCCGGAAAAGAACGATTATTTGGATGAAGTCATTTACGGGGAGCTCAGCAAGGAGGAGGCCCAGCCCCTGGTCACCAAATACAAGGAGGAGGCCAGAAAACTGCTTCCCCCTTCAGAGAAACGGGCGAACCGTCGCAATAACCGCAACAAGCGGAACCGCCAGAACCGCAACCGCGGCCAGGGCTACGGTGAGGCTCCGCGGGCGCCGCTTCGGGGCCAATCCGGCCCTTTTCGGCACAGAATCCATGGGGATCGCTCATCCCGTTTTCCCTTGCAGTTGGGGGGCAGCGCCGAGGTTACGACAACCGGGTCTACGGGCAGCAGCAGTACTGGGGCCAGCCTGGAAACCGCGGGGTGAGTGCACAGCCGTGCCGTGGAACTCTTTTTTCACACCTTTTTACACCTTTGTACACCTTTTTTACACTTTCTAACACCTTTTTTACGCTTAACTTCTTTACGCTTTTTTACACCTTTTTTGCACCTTTTTTTTTTTTCCCCCCTTTACACGCGCTTTTTTCCCCCCTTTACACGCGCTTTTTTACCCCTTTTTGTGCTCCTTTTTGCACCTTTTTACACCTTTTGCCCCTTTTTTGCCCCATCGCGCTCCTTTTTGACGCCTTTTTTGGGCTCCTTTTCGCGCTCCTTTTTGACGCCTTTTTTGGGCTCCTTTTCGCGCTCCTTTTTGACGCCTTTTTTGGGCTCCTTTTCGCGCTCCTTTTTGACGCCTTTTTTGGGCTCCTTTTCGCGCTCCTTTTTGACGCCTTTTTTGGGCTCCTTTTCGCGCTCCTTTTTGACGCCTTTTTTGGGCTCCTTTTCGCGCTCCTTTTTGACGCCTTTTTTGGGCTCCTTTTCGCGCTCCTTTTTGACGCCTTTACTCACTTTTTTACACCTTTTTACGCTTTTTCCACCCGGATCCCTCCCGCTGAGCCGTGAGCCAGTTGCAGGGGGTGGATTTGGGTCCGGGAACCCCCCAGAAATGGGGAAAATGGGGAAAATCGGGAACGCAGCGTGCCTGTCCCCGCAGGGCTACCGCAACTTCTACGACCGCTACCGAGGGGACTACGACCGCTTCTACGGGCGCGACTACGAGTACAACAGATACCGGGACTACTACCGGCAGTACAACCGTGAGGTACAGCCCGCGGGCGCTACAGCCCCGCGCAACAGCCGGCCCTGTTTGTGCCCCCC